AAAAAATACAATTTGAGGGGTCATAACAATCTGGTGGCTCTCTTATTCTCCACACACATACATGTACTTCATACAAAAGTAAATGTACTTTGTTTTCAGATACTATCTAGATATGTTGCATATAAATGTGTATGCAATAAACACTACCAAGAACAAGCACACAATACGTGAAAATACTAACCTTTCTGCCGGTCCACCAGGCTCCAAGAAATCAATGATTGGTGGTGAGCTGAGAATTTCAGTTGAGAAGACTCCTCCTTGCAATGAAATACCATAATCTGCACTGGGTGACTGTAAAATGACTTCAGTTGTTTCTGTTCTACACACCTGGTTTGCAGGCATGGTGTTGTAACTGGAACTGACTGAGGCTGTATAAATATACCGTAGAGGAAATGATTCCATTAAATATTCAACTTAATGGGTGATTCATCCCGACTTTTAACAGCACTTCAAATTTTTTTTATTTCATTACATCATAGGCAAACTGGTCAATGATTGTTTTTTATTTCACTACATGACTGCTCAATGATTTTTTTTTTCATTTCATAACATAACAGGCTAATTGTTCAATGATTGTTGTTTTATCAACAGAAGCATAATAAAAATTGTTAAAATGATGACACATACCACTGGAGTTCTGTCTTCCCAATTTTGATGTCAGTCTTGTAGGTTTTTTCCTACTCATTGTACTACGCATAGTTCCAGTTGTGTAGACACTTGGTTCTCTGAAGGCAGCTGGAGACACACTAGCAAGCACAAGGGCTGAGAAGAACAAAGTATATAGGAGTACTTGTTAGTGATCTAGTAGTAACTAGACTGATAATCAAGGTTCTGAATATACTGGCAATGGAAGGGAAATGGCATATAAACTGATGGCTCTTGCAGTCATGTTGTGTTCGTAATATTGCTTCTGAGTGTACCAATCAACATTACATAAATAAAATTCGTTTGTTTTTTCAGCCTGACAAAGCAGGAGTATTTTTGCATCCCAGTCTCGCTACTTCCAGGAAAGTCGTCTATACAGTCGTTATACAAACATGAAACAAAGCAACATTCCTTCTAAAACTTCATGTGAATAATATTCACACCCAAAGGTCACCACAGAGGGCGCTTAGCCCAGGGCTAAGCGTTCGTGCACACTTCGTTAGCCTGTGCTAAGGGTCTGGACCATGTCATAAAATTGGATCAGATTTTACCCATACATGTACTTAGCATTCCTTAGCCCATGCTAAACATTCACAATATGCACAGATTTTTATTTAAAACTAATTATGCCTGTGCATAGACCTAGAACACCTAATCAAATCTGTGCATTATCCCCGAAGCATTATGCATCAAGTTTCCCAAAAAACAAACATATGGTTCCTGAGATAACAGTGGAACAGATGGGGAGACACACACACACACACACACACACACACACACACACACACACACACACACACACATTCAGACACACTAACTGCAAAGACTCCCATTACAGGCCCATGATAATCAAAATGTTGCCTAGTATGTATTACAGTGAGTGCATGATACATTTGCACTAATCAGATATATTCAGAAAACTTTAGAAATCAAGAAAGAAAAACTCCTACAGCCAAGAAATGTTCACCATTTCCAGTTTTCCCCCTTTTTAAGTTTTAATTGGCCAAAATCTATTCATACACTGTATACACACTGTCAGACAAAGAAGAAATGAGACTGTATAAACTCCAAATGTAAGCCTACATTTTTCTGCTGTGCTTCGTATCTTTGGTAGAAGCTGGCTAATTGGGAGAATTTCCAGCTTGATTTGATCAGATGAGTTGAGTAAAAACTGAGACGCTTCAGCAACAGACATTTGGCGAGTGTCAATATCATCAATAGACCTTATCTCGTCACCAACATGTAAAGCACCACATCTAATAAGACAAGAATACAAAAAACTTATGAGCAATGCCATTGACTGACATTACCTAATTGCCCAAAAGTTATAATTTAGGGGAAAAAGACACAGATAATCCAGGATATTTACATGATCGCCATTCGGCCAACATGAATTAGATGTATGTCAATACACGTATGTGTGATATGATGTATAAAGTTGACATGATTTGTAAAGGCATCTTTGATATATAGCACTTGAACAGCATTGATTATAACAAAAGGCCACCTGTCAGCCATTATTGATACAAAACACAACAAGCCATGCATGGTTACAGTCCCTGTTAGTTATCAAATTTAAGATATATAGTTTTGTTTATAGTAATGTAGTTGAAACATAAACATGTCAGAAGTATGGATCCAGAAGATGATGCTTGATTATGATGATTTTTTAACATTAAAATGATTGACATCTTGTATCTGATCGTCAAACGAGTACATTTTGACTACATCTATATATCTATAACATGATATAAAATGAATATATAAAATTTGAACATAGTCAGTCAAAGCATATCAGAGATATGGCTCTAGAAGTGCATTCATTTAAACAAAATGGCCGCCAATCAACCATTTTGAATCAGATCAGAAAATTAAAATGACGTGCATCAGGAACCTATAATCTCTAATGTGTGTACCAAGTTTGAACAAAATCCATCCATAAATGCTTGATTTTGATTATTTTTTAGCACAAAAATGGCCACCATTCTGCCATCTTGAATCAGATCGTGAAACAAATTGATGTGCATATTTATAATATTATGTATGTGTGACGTTTGATTGTGATTGGTCCAGGCATATCTAAGATACAGGTCCAAACGGACGCACATAGGTCAATCCATACATTTAAGTCCCCATCCGAAAGGGGACTAAAAAACATATAAACAAAGTTTGTATGAAATCTGTAAATGTATGACCAAAATACAGAATTTGCATAATTAATGGATGTATCCCAAGCAATATTATGCACGTGAACTTGTTAGTTCAGGCATGTCTGAGATACAGGTGCAATGCATGCAGCAGCGGATGCTTGCAGGTGAAGAAGAATGGACAAATGCAAGCAAGCACACACAAGCAGACTGACAGAAACCCAGAGGTGAATCTATAAGTCCATGTTTTTTTATTTGTACTTCAACAATTGTTAGTGTGATTATCAAAATGCAAACCACACAATACATGTAGAACATTCAAAAACACACTATTTCAGTGAGAAATCGGCAAACATCATGGACAATACTTACCTGTCAGCGATACTAGCTGGCCTCACACTGTCAATAACAATTGCATTATGTGTGTTATTACGTAGAGAACTCAGAGTAATTCCTAGATTGGTACCAGGTGTCTTAGCAACCTCTACTAGCAATGGACCAGTGGCAGTAGTAACAGCATCTGTGGGAGAAGAAAAACACACTCAATGTATGATATACTGGTAGTATAAATTTATGATATGCCACCTTAAAGTGCTTGTGCAATGCCCACCCTCACGTTTCCCATTTTAGATCTGTGTCCCACTGAAATGGGCAGTTATTGATTTTTTTGCTGAAAATGATTACTCGTATCCAAGTAAATTTGGGATATTTCTCGTGTTGTAGCCACGCCCAACTATCTTGAAACGGTCGACTGTTTCCGGATTTTCGACTCTCGCCGAAAGTGTGCCACCAAATGTCAAAATGTGAAAGGAAGTCATACCCCTGAGCTGTAATAACACTGGTCATTCCGTATACTTTTAAACGATATACATTTTTTTTGTCTATTTTTTTTTTTTTTTGAGAGAGAGTTTTTAGATGTTGTGTTATGGGCAGTTGCACTGAAACATATAGTCATAGTGTAAGTATTCACACGTTTCTAATTGATCCAAAAGTGCGACATCAGTGGACGAAAGCCACTTAACCTCAGCTTCTTTTTTGTTTTTTTTTGTGGAACAACTGTCCTCGTCCATGAAAAAAAAAAACTAGGTTTAAAGAGAAACGCCGACAACATAAACCTGGCGCAGCACTTTTGAAAGAGATAGATTCCGGACCATGATCACCGAGGCGGATTTCAGAAGAGAGAGGGAGAGACGGCAAGTGTTTCAAATGAGTTGACTTTTTTTGCGATCCTGATTATCGTTTTATAGATCATTTAGTCCCTGTTAAGTAAAGAGTAGCAATGACACGTATTAGTGACACGAAAACGAAGCGTCGGACAAACATGAAATTACACAGCCCTTACACA